GCATAAAATGCTTGCCGAGCAATTGGGTGTTTCTCAAGCAGCCATTTCCATGCGGATACATGCCATGGGGAAGGTTCAAAATATTGGAAAATGTGTGCCACATGAACTGAACGGCAGATGGAGCGACGTCAAAACACATACCAAATTCTGCTTGCCAGACAAAAAAGAAAGTCATTCCTGCATCGTGACAGACGATGAAAAGTGGATCTATTTTCAGAATCCTAAACGCAAGAAATCTTGGGTTGATCCCGCCCAACCATCAACATCTTCTTCTAGAACAAATCGCTTCGGACGGAAGACGATGCTGTGCGTTTGGTGAGATCAGAAGAGCTGTTATTAGCTTATCTACTACGAGCTGTTAAAATCTGGTGAAACTGTTAATGCTCATCGCTACCAACAACTGATCAAATTGCACCGTGCTCTGCGTGAAAAAAGGCCGCATTATCGGAAAAGACATGACATGCTGATTTTTCTCCACGACAACGCACTATCGCACACGTCAACAATGGTCCAAAACTACTTGGAGACACTCAACTGGGAAGTGCTTACCCCATCCCGCTTACTCACCAGACCTGACACCTTCTGACTATCACCTGTTTTCGTCGATGGGCCACGCGCTCGCTGACACTTCTATTCTTACAAAGACGTCCGAAAATGGCTTGATGATTTGCCTCGAAAGATGAGGAATTTTTTTGGCACAATATAAATTGCCCGAAAGATGGGAAAAATGTATAGTTAGCAAGAGCAAGTACTTTGAATAAATTTGTTTTTGCTTTCTAGGAAAAAAAGAAGTATTTTTCTGACTTAAAAACAGCGGATTTAAGCTTATACACCATATATGACATAAAAAATGAGAATTATTTGAGTTTCCGTTGTAAATTGAAAGCAATATATAAAAATCGGCACAATATGTAGCTGTTTTAATATGAGTGTTACATTTTCAATCAATAAGAAACTATAATACCGTATATTAACGAGATCTAGATTTAGAAACATTTAATATTCATGCACAAACAATAAAATAGCACACATTCGATTACTATATATTATTTGAATGTTTACATCAAATTATAAAACCGAATATTGCTATTATATCTGATCAGATCGCACTCAACATTGACGCTCATATATGAACTATCACTCATTATTGAGATATCAAATAATATATCGAATTTGATGATCACACTCAATCAACACTCAATATTGATGCTAAACTTAAACGACACTCAATATTGAATGTCTACAAGGTAACACTGAATATTCATGTTTACACTCAACTAACACCCAATATTGATGCTCAATGCTTAACTAATACTCAATATTGAGTGTCCATATCAAGACAACATCGAATATTAATGGTCACACTTAACCGATACCCAACAATGATGCTCAACTCTCAACTGACATCCAATGTTGACAGTACTGAATTGAATGAAGTCAAAACTGAATTTTCATGATAAACACCTAAATTTGAATGTTAACATCCAAAATTGAAGATTTTTTTTTCGTAAGGATTGTAACTCGAAAAGTAAGTAATGAAAAATAACTTTATTACAGGGTTTTGAAAAGCTTTTAACATTATTATATTTTATTACAAAGAATAGTGTTCCATTAAGAAAAATCAATGTAACCTTGATTTGACCTTGGCGATATCATTCAAGATCAAATCAATAATACTTTCTTATCTCCTTCCGATCCACACAATTTTTCTCTGAAATATTTTTTCGTATCTATAGTTTCGTATCATAATTTTCGAGAAATCTTAATGCATTGTTTAAAATGAGATGTATACAAGATTCAGGATAAACGTAATTATGCAGAAAATGGCTGACCTTACCGATTTTAATGAAATTAGGCTCATTCGACAGGCTTTTGTACAAAACGAACGAATCAGGCTGAAAAAAGTGTCGCTCTACCCCGCGAACCGAGATATTAAGCGTTAAAGTTCACGTTTTCATTATTTAAGTTATAGAAATCTGTTATAGCCGCGAAATCCAGCAATGCGAGCAGGCACTATAACCCATGTAGACAATGAAGTGTGCAGGCAGTAAATGTATAGATTCGGGGCGGCTGCACGCGGGACGCATGAACATGCACATATGATCGCATTTTCTCTCTCTCTCTCTCTCTCTCTCTCACGTGCGCACACGCATATACACAATGCACACACACAATTATCTCGCAAACATTTGATAATTTCATTTGCAGTTTGAAAAAAGAAAACTTCCATTTTGAATCAAGTATAGTTCCAAACAAATGTTTATTAAACCTTCATTCCTCTTAGAAATTTAATTTAGATACTTCACGTTCATACATGCACATATCGAATCAATATTTTTATATCTTATAAAACACATTCGATTGGCATACAACATTCACTTGAAGAAAATTACTAATGAATTTACTAATATATGTCTATCACTTAAGAGTCCGTTCTACTCGATAGTTTTTATTACTATTAATTGTCAATTACTCATTCGATGATCGAAAATTACTGAAACACACGATGCGTTTACTTGATATCAAGCAATCGATAAATTTTATTGATTATGTTTATATTATTGTAGCATTGTCGAAACACGAACGTGATTATAATTTCGTTCAGCAGACTCAATTGTTGCGGAGCAGTCCGTGAGTGCTCGGCACCATACTCATGTAATATGAAGTTGGAACCGCACTATTAGAAATAAAAAAATTATATTGCTATTCGTTTGGTGGTCGTTTGGTTGGTTTAATAATTCATTCCCGACATTTGATAGTCAAAGTTATAATCAGAAATATCAAAAAAAGACATACAAGCATGAAGTTGACCCCCACAACATTCATTTCTCCACTAAAAATTTATTTCTACGTAAAAATAAAAATAAGAGGACCTCCAGAGCCTTGATTTTGACAAATATTATCTAACTTATAATCCTGAACATTCAAGAGATTTTAATCGGTCGGACACTTGAGTAATGTTAATGCCGATGGTATTGTAACTTTCAAACTTTATAACTCGCAAAATACTTAATAAAGAAAAATTTTATTAATGTTTTGAAGAACTCCCGACATCAGCTAATAAATTTTGAAATCAAAATTAGAGCGCGCCAAAAAAATTGATGTCACCTTGATCTGACTTTGGCGATGCCATCCAAGGTCAGACTGACCAGATCAGTAAATCGATCATTTAAAACTATACAACTTTTGTAGGAAATATTTCTTTCAGAATTTAATTTTCGAAATATTGCACCGCGACTTTTTATTCATCCTGTCGTCATATTGGATCTGTCATTTTGAAATGTGTACTTCTGACCTCGTATTCGTGATCAGCGATCAAAAAAGAAAAGATAGTATTGAAAAACAAATTGTATTGAAATTTAAATATTTTTTCGAATTTTGATATATGTATTCAAGCCATGCATAAATACTAATTTCAAAGTCGAGGAGCAACCTTAAAATATTAATCGATTTCGATGAAATTTTATCCAAATCATGTTTAAGTCCATAGCTAACTTTTGGCAGATTTTAATAATCGATTTTCAAATTTTTTTTTTCGGCTCACTCTAATATATATATATATATATGATCTAGTTATGATTAGAGAGAATCAAGGGAGAGTCAAGCGTTTCTGATTGATTCCGCCATTTATAATGCATACACGTACAGTTCGTAACAGGAATTCCTGTGGTCCAATTTTAGGGACCCACCTTTCGTTCTTTGTTATTTTTACATACGTGACTGTTAAAATCTGATACAACTGGATACGATCGGATTACGTCCGCGATCATAAATATATTGATTCCTATTAAGCTGGACCTATCAGCGCAAATTAGGTTCGGACGTAATCAAAAATTTAGTGCTATTTTAGTGCTATTTTGAGCGAATTTTGTTGCTCCAACCGTTTAGCAGTAAAAAAAAATGGTCCAGCTTAATGACAAGCTCCCTAAAATCGAACCCCAGGCATTCCTGCTACGAACTGTACATACATACATACTAATGCGGTATAAGTGTGTACAGCATCATATATTTCATCTCGCTCCTACCATATCTCCTACCATATCACTTCAACGATTACAAATGATGGCTTCTGGGTGAATCCTTTCCCCCAATTCTCTCACAGTACTAAAACTTTACGTGGCTAGAAATAAATTAATGATAAAAGTAATAAATGAAATCATTACTATTACCACAAAAATGTAATTCTGTTGCTATGAACGTTATTCAAGAAAATTTAATGTTGTTACCTATTCATTACCGAAAAAAGTAACTTATATCGGTAAACTTGGCAAGTAACACGTCATAAAGTCATTCTAGTAAGAGACACAAAACCGGAAGGACATCATGTCGTTTTAGTCTTAAATTATTGGAAATGGCTAATAATTTCTTATTCTTTTTTTAACAAATGATATCTGCTCTTGGAAAAATAAGAAAAGAATCAAAATTAGGCGATAATTATTTTAAGATAATTAACTCAGGCCGAAGCGAAAAAACATCTGCGCCGGCGTCACCATCTTGAAAAACATGCACCTATAAAAATTACTTTCACCTATTCACTTACATTAACTAACATATTAATGAAACATCACGGCGGCATCAATCACGAAAAGTATTTACATCTCGACTCATATTAGAGTAACTCTAACGCATTATTTGCCAACTCTGATGGTAACATATAGTTTTTCGAATGCTTGCCGATGCGTTGCAATTTATACAGTTTCGGTTTACTTACCGAAATTTTCTCTTAATTTTAGCCTTAATCGAAACTCTGATTTATTATCGAAACTGACCAAAATCGAAACCGAAAGATTTATGTCGGACTCCATAAAAAAATGAAAACTATTAAATAATACAAGAATATTATAAAAATATTAAAAATATACAAAAACAGTGCGAAAAAGGTTTCCTTTGCAGAGGACACTATGTAATAAAAAATTAAAAGATTCTTCCTCTCAGCAACGCTTACTAGAATCTTATGTATTGATCTTTCAACTTTTACATAAATAAAATGTTAAATTTACTAGAAAATCCACAAGTGGTTCTTCAGTTGTCAAGACCAATATCCGAAATGGTCTGGAAATATTAGGATCTGGATATATAAATAGATTATGTTGCCGAATCCTGACATCTTGGATGGACCCATTAACTTCGAGAGCTGTTACATCATCAAGAGGCAATCTGTAGTAAAAGGTACAGAAATGCTCTCCATTCACTGCAATCTGAAATGTAAATGTAGCATATTAGAATTATATAACAGTTTAAACAATCAATTATCATTGCAATGCAATGCTTTCGACGAAGAAGATGTTATAAATAAGTAGATGTTTTAAATGAGGACATTCGTGCACGATTATGGAGCGCAGAAAACTAATACGCGTGTAAGTGAGACGATTGTTGAAATGAGATAACAAAATTTTGGGCGGCGCACGACGCATTCAATATAAATAAAGCAGCTGTTTATGCGTACACTGTGATTGTGTACAAATATCAAGTTATAAAAATTAATGGATTGAAAGTTTTATTTGTTTATTAATAAATGGAAAAAGAATTTTAAGCATTCAATATTTAAATATTTTAAATTTTGACAGATTAATAAATAGCAAATAGTTGACCCAGGTCAATAAATTCAATGAGCTATAATTAGGTGTAACAAAATATTTATTATTCGCAATTATAATTTTCGACGATAAGTTTCAACGTTCTGATTATACTTAGTCCTCCTCAGCCGCAGAAATACATAATTATTTCATATATCAAAATTAGATTAACATATTGTGAGGTTCATCTCACCTTCAAGTTACAATAGACAGTATAACGTAATCATATCATATTTGTCAAATAATAGACGTAATAGATGTAATGAAGAATCATGAATCCAAACCAATTCATCAGTTAATAACGAAAAAGGACAGTCAATATTAGTAAAAGCAGAGAATTGCAGTATTATTGATGCAGCTTGAAAACTGTATAACATTGTTGTACGTAGATATTTATTAATTTTGGTAACAATGTATACATCGATCTCGGCTGAACATCCAGCTGAAAAGCTCTGCATTAGCCCTGTGCTGATGACAGTGATGTGGTGCGCACTTAAATCAAAGCATCAAAGCATAATTCGTAGGTGACAGTCATTCTGCCGAAGATATACGAACTTCACTAAGTTCGCCGATCCGCAGCGTTCCCACGAAGATTGCGAAGATCACCGAATAAGACCAAAATAATACGAACGGGAGCAATAATTCGTATACAAACCGGGAAATAGTTGCTCGTTTTGCGATTCCTGCTATTCCGCCTACTCCTAGACGAATCCGACTATTACCGACTCTTAACAAGCGAGACAAAATGGTGGAGAGCACCGTCACTGTCGAGAATTCTCGATATCGGCGGACTGATCTTTTTGCATTCACGACGGGATAATTCCAGGACAGAGGAAATTCTGCCAAGTATACTCAGCTGCTGATCAGCTGCTCTCGTGTCGTGGCACTGACGGGATTATCTCCAAAACCAGAGGGCACTCTGCCCCGCCGAGTCTTCTCGACCACCAATCGCCTTCGCACCGGAAATAGCAAAGGATGCGCGCTCGGTTTCCGTCGAGTCTTTCTCGGCCATTCAGTGCATCATTGCCGCATCCACGGCAATCGACAGTAACACGGGAGCCTTCTCCGCCTCTGTCGAAAATTCTCAGCCATCGATTGCCAAACGCATCCAACTTTGCGCTGTCCGCACACAAAGATCCGCCGCACCCGCGTTCGGGATTCGCGCCTGGTGTGTACCCGCGTTCGCATCAACCAATCAGCCGCGCGCTGTTACGTACATCTAATTACCGAGAATACGTGCCGCACATCAGCACCGCGCCGCGTCAGAAAAAGCTGTTTGTGGCATCAGGCACGCGAGACCGCATTCATCGAAGGCAACATATACTCGTGCACACCGCACACGTACATACTCACGTACGCAAGCATACACACACACGCATATACATAGAATTATTATACGCCGTTATATACACTTCACATTGTACGACACACACTCATCGCATTCTACATACCTATTTAACGATTATCATTAAAAGCATTATTAATATCAAAATCGTAGTCTATTTGTCAACATCTAATTGTCGCATCTCTCCTTCTCATGCAAATCTCTTTGGCGTTCCGAATCGTATTACCGAACCCAACGAGCTAATCCGCGCCAAAATTAGGTTGTTTCAACTAAGTAGAATAAAACAATATCAAAAATTGAAGCTATAAAGAGATCATTACAGATTGAAATTTAAATGTATCTTTAACAGTTAAAATTATATAGATAAACTGATAATTTATAAATTTATGCACACACACACACACACACACACACACACACACACACACACACACACACACACACACACACACACACAAAAAAACACACACACACACACACACACACACACACACACGCACACACAGTGAGTACTAAAAGTACAAAGAAAATATTTTTTTTTTAATTTTAATTTAATAAAATTATTTTATTAAATTTTATTAAATTTTAATTTTAATAAAAATATTATCCAGCGAGAAATAAGTCATCAAATTGATGTCGAATTGGTAAATACGATGATTTCAACATCAAACGTCGATTCGACATTTAATTGACGATCATTTCTTATTAGGTTATTAACAATTTATTCATAAAAAATAAAATAGACTGTATATTTCTTAGAATTATATATACCAAAAAGATACATATTAATTATACAAAATATATCATTTGAAAAAAAGCAAAAATTAAAAATTGTATTGTGTAAATGTTCAAAAAATATTCGTACAGACGAGAAATTTAGGTTCTAAAATCAAGAACACATTTTAGGAAGCTTATTTGTTTATGTTAGAACAGAATGTATTCATTGTATAAAATTGCTAATTAATGTTTATTTTTTACAAATAAGACTACTTTTTTTATAACAAATTTCCTCGTACGAATACTTTTTGCTTTTATTATGTGTGCACATATATATA